TCCCTTTGAGTTTCAGTCTTAGATGGGTTCTCTAGCTCCCTTTCTTCCTTCTTCCCTAGGCCTAGAATTTTCATTCCCCATCTTCTATTGGTCTTGGTGTCTGAGTTTCCCTGTGCGCTCAACTCCCCTATTTTCTGGAGGTTTCTTGCACACCCCAAGATTTGCTTCATCTGTCTCCTGCCATTTCCTTTGGGGGATGACGGAACTGCTGATCGGGACTCCGCACTTGCTTCACATGTGTGTTAGTCACACTCAACCCCCGAAAATGCCCGACCATCAAGGCAATATTTATAACCCAATTTTCCCACCCTGGCCTGTGCACAGATTGCCTGGTTGAGTGGTTAGTCTGTTCTCAGTCCTTCATGTCTGCCTCACTCATTCTCTTTTAACAGTCCTGGGGGCTTTTTCTGGCTCTCGCTGGGAGGCGATCACCCTTGTGGAGCAGGCTGTGCAAACCAGGCAGGATGTGTCTCCATTTCTATCGGGCCTGCCGCTCCAAGCGGGCAGAAAATCCCAGACGGGCCCCCAATTTGTGAAAAACATCGATATCTTGCATACTACCTTGGTCCCTCTGGGTTATGAGATCATTGATGAGTTATCACGAGTGCTTACCAACAAATGCTCAAGAAATCCAATCTGTACTCATTTTAGTGAGAGTAAGGCTTTTTTTTATTTGATTTTGCAAAATCAGGTGCCAAATGCAGAAGACACGGGCAAATGTGCCACGGACATTTTGCAAAGCATTTTATTCTCCTAGTTTCAGAAAGTCCCTGTCCTGGTTCCTCATTGACTGAGTACTATGGGGTTAACAGTCTTTCCTGGATGTCAGATGTCATCTACTTTCTCTTGATGGTAGCATTCTTATTTAAAGTTCCTAGTCATTGAACAGGTTCTTTCCCCCTCCCCCAATGCATCCTGCTCACATCCCCCAGATGCATAGGCCACTGTTGCCATGTTAATCATCTATGTCTGGTCTAGCAATTTCCTGGACCCCCTTATTCCTGAAGACTGACCATCTAAACCTTCAAAAGGTTGAAGGTTTGAACCCACCCAGAGGCTCTGTGGGAGAAAGACTTGGCAACGTGTCCCCATAAAGACTACAATCTAGGAAACCATATGGGGGCTGTTCTACTCTGTTGTATGGGGAGGGGGGTCACTTTAAGTTGAAAATCAACTCAGAATCACCCAACAACAACAAGAAGTGTGTGTGTACTGGTTTGCCATGTATACTCTTATTGCTTATAGTGGTTCTTGGCGGTCTCCCCACATTGATAGTTAGGGGTGGGTGGGATGGATAGTTTCCTTAGCCCTTTAGCCAGGATCCAGCTGTAGGTTGAGTCCCCAAGCTCCTTGGTGTGGAGTCCTGTCTCCAGCCTGTAGCTCTAACTCCCAAGACCCCCAGGTTTCCCAGACTCCTGGCTAAGTCTTATGCCTACAAGCCACTTCCCTTTGTGTTCTTTTAAAAACCGGAGTCAATAGGACTGTTCCCCCTCCCACCTTAACACACATCCGGTTTCTCAGGCCCTCGAAAGGTGTCTGGAATACAGGGCCTGAGCTGCCTTCTGACCCAGGTCAACATTCCCTGACCATTCTACAGCCCTTCAGTATGGCCCAAACTTGTGTATCCTCCTGTGTCCCCATCTCGGGGACAGTGGCACCACCACCTACACTGTCCCTGAAGCCAGATTCTAGGAGTCATTCTGAACTAGGAAGGCTGTCGATTCCATCTCCTGATTGCCTTCCAGTATCTCCACCACAATAGTAGGATCCAGAATTGCTCCACCTCCTGAGAGTTCTCCCGCATAGGCTGGTGGAGGGGCTCGCACAGGCATAGTGTAGATCATACACCCTGCCCTCCTCCCCATCTCTAATTTTGCCCATTCTCTGCTAGGGCTCTCCAGAGTACTCCCCTTGCCTCCTCAAGGCTAATCTACCCATTCTTGTTCTGCCAAATGCACCCGCTGTCCCAGCTACTCTGACCAAACCTCACTAGCACCCCGGAGCCCATCTGTCTGGAAAGCTCCCTCCACCCGCCTCCTCTTGCTCTGGGACTGGAAAATATCTCTTAAGGTTGTCCTCTGACTTTAACAGCAGAGGCTATCCTTTCTCTGGGTCCCCAGCCCCCTTTCTTCATTCTTTGGTGTGGCCCTTGCCACCTCATATCTGACTGGTGCAATCTGTTAACATGTTCAGCTCTTAACTGGAGGGCTGAAAATTTGAATTTTCCCTGAGGAATGTTGAAGATCTACTTGCAAAAATCATACCATGCACAGGTCTACTCTGACATACATGGAGTCCCCGTGAGCTGGAACTAACTCTAGGACAACTGGGTTTTTGTGTATATTTGTCTGTCTCCCAACTCAGACTGTAGCTCCCTGAAGCCCAAGATTAGATCTTACTTTACTAAGGTGCCCAGGGTCCACCAGAGAACCTTGCTATCAAGTATTTGCAGAGCAAGTGCAAATAATTCTTTCCTAAGCAATCACCACCAACAGTCAACATTTACAGACGCCTGCCCTGTGTCCCTCCCTACAGCTCTGCAAGGAGAACCCTGACCTACTCCCAATCCTCCCAGGCCAATGGAACTACTACATAGTAGACACATTTAAAAAATACTAATGGGGGCACTGGGGATAAGGGACGTATTGGGTAGGTCAGAAGGCTGGCCACCCCAGCAAAAGACTGTTTGCGGTGGTCCCAGCATGAATGTCCTGGTACTGGACAATGGGACCAAGAGGAAGCTGGGAAAAAATTCCCTGCTCCGCTTCAGACAGCACAACTCTTCTCTGAGATCCCCTCCCCCAACAGGATCCTGAAGTTTCTCGTGGCCAAAAGGAAATTCAAGGAGACGCTGCGACCGTATGACGTGAAGGATGTCATTGAACAGTACTCGGCTGGGCACCTCGACATGCTGGGTCGGATCAAGAGCCTGCAGACTCGGTGGGTGCACCGTCCAGGGCGGCAAAGGGGGGGCAGAAGGGAGCAGGGAGGCCATGAATACAGCTGGAGGGCTAGGGAGTTCCTTGGCTTGTACCCAAACGGAGCCCGAGGGCCCTGTGGGGATGCTTTAGGAGACAGTGCTCTTACCCAGGCAAAACTTCTAGTTTGTAGAGAGATTTAGGCTGCCAAATTCCATACCTGAGTCTAAAGAATCACCCAACTGCAGGTCCTTAGTGGGAACTCTTATTGACCTGCATGGCCTCTAGGGATGTCTTTAGAAATACTGTTTCCTGATCCTAATATAAACCCCAAAAACTAAACCAAGTGCTCTACAGTCGATGCCTGGTGGTGTTGTGTGTTAATGCGCTGGACAACAAGGTGGGTTCGAACCACAGGGTCGGCGGTTCAAGCTCACCAGCTGCTCCTCGGAAACCCTACACAGGGTTGCTATGGGTTGGAACTGACTCAACGGCACTTAACAACAACAACATACAGTCAATTCAGACTCACAGCATCCCTACAGGATAGAGTAGAAGCATCCCACTTGGTTTCCAAGACTATGAATCTTTGTGGAAACAGATGGCCTCATCTTTCTCCTGAGGAGCATATGGTGGGTTTGAACCACCAACCTTTCAGGTAGCAACCAAGTGCTTAACTGTTGTGCCAACAGGACTCTAATATCATAGGTTTAAAATAATCACTGATTTCCCAGCTCCCTAGGGCAGGGGTGGGAAACCTTTTTCTGCCAAAATTTATAACTATCATGGGCCATACAAAATTATCAACTTAAAAATTAGCCTGTTTACTTGTCAAACATTTAATTAACTCACCCCTAATAAGGAGCTCTGGTAGCGTAGTGGTTACGAATCGAGCTGTGAACCGCAAGGTCAGCAGTTTGAAACTACTAGCCGCTCCGCTGGAGAAAGATGAGGCGTTCTGTTCCCGTAAAGATTAACAGCCTCGGAAACCCTGTGCAGGGTCGCTATGAATCGGAACCGATTCCACAGCACATAACAACAACAACAATATGTCTACAGCCACACCACCCTGAATGTGCTAGATCTCCTCTGATCTCAGAAGCTAAGCAGGGTTGGGCCTGGTTAGTACTTGGATGGGAGACTGCCTGGGAATACCCGGTGCTGTAGGCTTTTGTTTGAAGTCCTGGTGTGGCGCTGTGGGCTACTGCGTCAGACTGCAGAGTCGTTTGAACTGCAAGGTCGGTGGTTCAAGCTCACCAGCTGCTCCTTGGAAACCCTATACAGGGTCGCTATGGGTCAGAATCGACTCGATGGCACTTAACAAGAACAGTGTGATGGCTGGTGTGGTGCTGTAGGGTCAGCACTGGATTGCAAACCATAAGGTCAGCAGTTCAAATCTACCAGCTGCTCCTCAGAAATCCTATACAGGGTGGCTATGAGTCACTTAACAACAGCAATGTGATGACGGAACTGTGGGAGCTCTGGTAGCAGAGTGGTTAGGAATCATGCTGCTACCCTCAAGGTCAAGAGATCAAAACTACCAGCTGTTCCATGGGAGAAAGATGAGGCTTTCTGCTCCTGTAAAGATTTACAGCCTTGGAAACCCTATACAGGGTTGCTACGAGTTGGAACCGACACCACTACCATACAGCATGTGCGCCAGAGGGCAAATTGTCTTTAATGCTAGCTACCTTTTCTTGCCAACTTGACGGCACTTAACAACCTTTTCTCGCAGCTCCTACTTTAAGGAAGAATCTTCACACTAAGACCCCATTCACCTATATTTTGCCCTTCTCTTCTCTTGACCTACCTTCTCGCTAGTCACTGTTCATTTACTATGTGCCCAGCAGTGGAGATAGGGTCAACAGAGTTCTGCCCTTATGGAGCAATACATAATACACACATATATATAGATATAGATATAGATAACACATAAGCACAATTAGAATACTGTATGTCAGGTGATGGTAAATGCTAAGGAGACAAATAAGGATTAGGGAGTTGGGGGCTGAGATTTTAAGTAGGTGAGAAGGTGACATCTAAAGGAAAACTTCATCTGAAGGAAATGAGGTAACAAGCCCTCTAGCTGTTCAGATGAGTTTTACAAATAGAAGGCAAAGCAAGAACAAAGGCTTTGAGATGGGTAAGTGGCTGGACAGTTTTAGGAGCTGGGGCATGTGGAGATGATTTCATAGCATCAGAGAAAAGCACTTAGATTGTATAAAGCTCTGTGGGTCACTGCAAGGACTCTAGTGTCCATCTGGGTGGGCTGCAAGCATGGGAGGGCATTGAACAAAGGACTGACAAGATCTGAGTTGTATTTTAAGAGCATCACCCTGAAAGGGGGATGTTTGTTTAGGCGACATTGAGTTCATCGTAATGGTGGTGGAATGATGTGGAAAAGGATAGCGAGAATGGTGGCACAACTTGGAGAATGTAATCAATATCACTGAGTCTTACCCCTAGAAATGATTGACATGCCATATATTTTGTTATGCATATTTTCACCACAATAAAAAGGGTTCACCCTGGCCAATCTAGGAGACAGTAGGGAGGCTTGTCTAGATAGCCAGGCAAGAGAAGATGGGGCTTGGACCAGGGCAGTAGCCGTGGAAGTGGGGAGAAGTGGTCAGATTTTGAATATATTTTGGAGGTAGAGCTGACAAGGTGTTCTTATGGGATATAAGAGGCAACATCTAAGTTGTGGGCTTGGACAAGAGGAGGAAAGGAGTTTCCATTTATTGGCATGGGGATGGCAATGAGTAAAGCAGGTTTTGGATCAGGAGAGTGGGGATACATTGGATTTATGACACCTACTGTACATCCAGGAGCTCTGGCAGTGTAGTGGTTACGAATCGGGCTGCGAACCCTAAGGTCAGCGGTTCGAAACTACCAGCCGCTCCGTGGGAGAAAGATGAGGCTTTCTACTCCAGTAAAGATTTACACCCTCGGAAACCCTGTACTGGGTCACTATGGGTCAGAACCGACTCAATGGCACTTAACAACAACAACAACAACTGTACATCCAAGTGGAGAGTCAACCTGGCAGGCAGATATAGGAGTGTGGAGTTCAGTACAGAGGTAGACTGGAGATGGAGATGTGGGGTCAACCTTATATAGAGGTATTAACAATTACAGAGCTTAAGATATCATCTATTGAGTGAGAATAAATACAAGAAATGAGACCCTAGGAGTGAACCTTGTGTCCTGCCATGCTCAGAGGTTATGGAGATAAAGGAGGAACCAGCAAAGGAATCTGAGAAGGAGGTGTCAGTGAAGTAGGAGGAGAACTAGGAGAGGGTATTGTTTTGGAGTCCACGTGAAGAAAGTGTTTGCAGGAGGAAGGGTTAGCCAGGAGCTGCTAATAGGTCAAGTGAAATGAGGACTGAGAATTGACAATAGTAGTTTTAGTGAAGTGGTGGGGGTCAAAGCCTGATAGGAGGAGGTTTAATAGACAAAGGAAGGAGAGGAATTGGTGATAAAAGAGCGAAAATTCTTTTAAGAATTCTTTTGTAATACAAAGAAGAAAAACAGGTGGGACCAGACCACCTCAAGCTTTGTCTGCCTTATGACTCGCAATTCCCATTTGTTTCCACTCCCCCTCCAGTGCACCTCTCCATCAGGACAGAACCTACCATTATTTTGTTGGCCTTATGTGTCTGTTTGGTCAGTTAGCAGACTCCTCTAAGCAGGGGTTGAGTTACCACTCCCCCAACCCTCAGTGAACCTTCAGAAGATAGGACTGTGGCCCCCTCCCTCTCAGATTGCCCCCTTCCGCTTCCCTGTGCATACTATCTCCCACCTCAGAAGGCAACCCAGAGTTCTTTGGGAGGGGAGGGGTGGCGTGTGCCTGGCCCCTTTGCTCTGACTGCTCCCTTTACCGATAGGGTGGACCAGATTGTAGGTCGGGGGATCGGAGACCGGAAGGCCCGGGAGAAGGGCGACAAGGGGCCCTCCGACCTAGAGGCTGTGGATGAAATCAGTATGATGGGACGCGTGGTCAAGGTGGAGAAGCAGGTAAGTGGGATGCGTTTCGCTAGGGTAGCAGAACTGGTAGTCGCTCGACAAGCTGCTCTGCAGGACCTCGGGGACTAGAACAAGGGTGGCGGGTGCGCTTCTCAGAGCAGCAGCAGAAGCACCGGCCTCCGCGGCCTACGCAGGGTGCACGCGCCTGAGGCCCTATTATCCCGTCTCCTGAAAGCCCACCCACTCCGGCTAAACAATCGCGATTAGTCCGCCGGCTCCAGTTAAGCCCGCCCTAGGTTGCTACTTTCTTGGACTATCGACTTCCAAATGAGTCTTGTACTAAGTCCCGCCCACTCTACTTAATCCCGCCTTAGTTGTCTCTTCCCGACCTCCCCAACCTCCCACACTAAAAATTGCCGGCGCTTCGGAAATTTCCCCCATTTTTTCCGCGGACTCCGCAACCCTGCAAAGCCCCTCTCCCGGCCGGGGCATGACTTTCTGAGGCGCTCAGCAGCACCCCCATTCCCCGCCTACTTTCCCCCCCAACCCGTTCAGGCCCCGCCCCTGTTAGGCCCCACCCAATCCCGGCCTGGCCCCGCCCCCAGGTGCAGTCCATCGAGCACAAGCTGGACCTGCTTCTGGGCTTCTATTCACGCTGCCTGCGCTCTGGCACCTCGGCTAGCCTGGGCACAGTGCAAGTGCCGCTCTTCGACCCCGACATCACCTCGGACTATCACAGCCCTGTGGACCACGAGGACATCTCCGTCTCCGCACAGACGCTCAGCATTTCCCGCTCAGTCAGCACCAACATGGACTGAGGGGGCTTCTCAGGGGCGGGACAGCACACGGCCAGCCCCTCGGCTTCGCGCTCGACCCGCTCTCTGAGGCCTCAGGACTCCACTTACTTGAACTTGCATCCCTTTCTCTGGGAGAGAGGCCACGCGCAGTATTGAGCTGCCTGGGTGGGCGAGATACCAGCTGTGGGTGCTAGTGACCCGCCCCACCTCAGGAGCACAAGATGCCAGGTCGCAAGGCAGGCAACAGCAGCGGCTGCCCCGCGACCTCTGGGCCCCCCAGTACCCTGCCCACTCCATCAAGGCGTGATCTGGTCCGCTTGGCAGGGGCACTGCCCCACGAGTGAGAGCGGGGTGCTTGGGCACTGGGCCCAGACCCAGCTTCCAGCTATGCAAGGTGAGGTCTCTGGCCCGCCCTTTGGACAGAGCAGGGAAGCCCTCCTGCCAAGGCCCTGCCCCACTTGGGGGTGGGCCCAAGGTGCCCCCACAGGTACCCACAAGACACAGGACCCTGCCACATGGTAGGTGGACACCATATATGCAAACTGTGTTAAATATGCAACTTCAGGGACCCCCATGGGGTCTCCTTGCCCCTCTCCCATCAGGAGATGGGCCCCCAGCAGTAGCTGGCCTCAGGCTGCTTGGCCATGACCTCCACCCAGTTCTTTAGCTTATGTCTACCCAGCGTAGGTTTCCCTCGGCCGTTCCCAAGGGCCGTGCCTGGGTCTCTCTTCCCATTTGCAGGTGTCACTTCCCAGGGGTTCCCCTTTGGGCCCACCAGACACTTCTGACAGCCAGCACAGGTTTCTGTGTTATCCTCAAGCTCTCACAGACAGTGTTCCAACTGTCACATGAACATGTCCCCTTAGTTTTCCCAGACACACAGAAAGAGTCTCCTACTCACAGTGACACACAGTCACACTCATTTGGAGACATGAACACAGAGCCACATGACATTTCCTGGCCTTCTGCAGATGATTCCAGTGGACTGGCCCTGCAGGCAGGGGAAGCTCCCTACTCCATCCAGATGGGAGAGGGGGCTCTGAAAGGACTCCAGGTCTCTGCAGGCCTCCCCCAAGAGAGTTACCAGTTCTTCTTCCCCAAGATCTACTCCTCTAAGGTCCAGGAGCCCTAACTGCTGCCTCTGTCTTCCCCAAAGGGTCCTTCTTGGTGTTCCCATAGCACAACTCAGGCCTAGGCATCCACTGGAAAGACCCCAGGCCCTTCCCCAAGGTGGTTACCAGGCCCACTTTAATCCAGACTCTGCCCCTTCCTAGTCACTCTAACTCCCAGAGAGAATAATAATGCAAATAGCAGCTATTGTTTGTCAGGCACCAATTGTGCCCTTGGCACTCACATGCACTGTCCCCCCTCTGTCTGTATCCATGTCTTCACTTCAGTTGGCAGCCCCCTGTATTGGCATAAGCTCTCATCCACTCCAGGTCCCTAGTACCTCTCTGGTAACCCTGCCTTTTGTCCCTCTTCTGCAAAGCCAATGCAGGTGGCAGGAGGGTGATGGGTAGTGACTGATGTCAACCTTCTGTGGCGTGCCAGGGAACAAGGGGCTCAGGCCAAGCTGCCTGCATCTCATGACTGGGGACATGCATGTACCAGCGCCAGGGCTGGGGTTGGATCTTGCTCAGCCTCATGGTGCCCAGCCTCTGCCCAACATGCCCTCTGCATGTGACCATCATGCCCTGGATGGAGCCTATCCTGGCTCACCTTACCCACACTGTACTGTCCCCAGAGAGCCACCTTTCCACTCCCTCAGAGACAGAACTGTGGAGAAGGGCAGGAGAATGGGAATACCCTACCACCAAAAGGGGTTTGGGAAGAAGCTCTCCCTTCTCCCACAATCAAGGTTCCCTCACCAACCCGGTTCTCAGATATGCAAGTACCTCACTTTGTTAACTTATTAACTTATTGGTTTCATTAAAATTTTCAGTAGGAGGTGGTTAGACTTGGCTCTGTTCTGTGGAGGTAGAATAGGAGGCCTGGGCTGGGACTGTGGACAAAGAAATTTTGATTAGTCAGACCTCTTTTGGTTGTGAGCAAAAAAAGCCACAAAAATAAAAAAACAAACCAATGCAATACATCTTGCCTTAGTTATCAAGTGTTGCGATAACAAAAATACCATAAGTGGATGACTTTAGCAAACAGAAATTTCATTTTTCACAGTTTAGGAGGTTAAATTCAGAGCACTGGTTCTAGGGGAAAGTTTTCTTCCTGTCCTGTTTGGAGGAAGCTCCTTGTCTCTTTAACTTTTACTTCCTGGTCTCTTGGAGATCTCCGTGTCATTTGACATCGGTCTTACTCCCATTTCTCCTCTGTTCTACTTGTTTAATCTCTTTTATATCTCAGAAGAAATTGAAGCAAGACACACCCTACACTCATCTGGCCTCATTAGCATAACAAAGACAACCCATACCCAAATGGGATTATAATCACAGGCATAGAGGTTGGGATTTACAATGCACATATTTTGGGGAGACATACAATTCAATCCATAAGATAGCTTAGCAATAAATGAAACTTGTTGGCCCAGTTAACTAAACTGTTCAGGAGATAGATTTAGCTTCATGCCCAGCTACATCTAGGTGCTTCCACAGTGAGGACATCTGTCTCTTATATGACAGACTTTCAGGCAGGCTAACTCCTCATGATGACCACTGGAACATCCAAATTTACTTTTTCTTGGCTTAGCTCCCCAGAGGAGAGTATGTACCATTTTCCTAATAGTTTGTATCAGTCAGGGCTCAGTCAGGACAACAGAAGCTACACTAGGTTTTCCAACCAAGAGAATTTACTGTATAGGATGGTTACATAGCTGGAGAAGGACTGGGAGAATCAAAGGGAACACTGAGAGAATCTAGGGGAAATAAATGCAGGAACCATGACTGATCCTAGGACTGTGGAAGTAAGAGGGAGAGTTTGGAGTTATCAGAAGCCACAAGTTTGGAGGGGAGCCATATGGTGCTGGAACTCAAGCCTGGGGGTACGGCCTTAACTGACTGGTGCTCGTCCCACTTAGTGGGTACAGTGAGGCTTGTCTGGGACTCCAGGGAAACAAAACTGGAGGCAGGGATTAACTGCTGACATCAAGATGTTGCTGATAAAGCTAGCAAACAAGGGAAAAGGAAGTCTCCCTTCCTCCTGCCTTCGATTCCCCTTCAAACCAGTTGTAGAATTGATTCCAACTCACGATGGCTTCACGTGTGTCAGAATAAAACTGTGTTCAGTAGGATTTTCAGTGGCTGATTTCTTGGAACTAGATTTTTGCAAGCAAAACTTTGCTGAAGACAATTTAAAAATGGTTGCAGCAGTACATAAACAAGTAGCTGCCAGAAAATCAAGCTAGATTCAGGAGGACATGGAAATAGGGATATCATTGCTGACATCAGATGAAGCCTGGCTGAAAGCAGAGAATGCCAGAAAGATGTTGATTTATGCTTTATTGACTATACAAAGGTATTCAACTGTGTGGATCATAACAAACTATGGATAGCATTGCAAAGAATGGGTATTCCCAAAACACTTAATTGTGCTCATGAGGGACCTGTACAGAGACCAAGAGGCAATTGTTCGAATAGAACAAGAGGAAATGGAATGTTTTAAAATCAGGAGGGGTGTATACCAGGGCTGTATACTTTCACCATACTTATTCAATCTGTATGCTGAGCAAATAATCTGAGAAGCTAGACTATCCAAAGAATAACATGATATCAGGATTTGAAGAAGACTCATTAACATCCTGCAATATGCAGATGATAACAACCTTGCTTGCTAGAAGTGAAGAAGACTTAAAATATTGATGAAGATCAAAGACTACAGCCTTTGGTATGGAGAACAGAAATCCTCACAGCCTGATGAATCAATAATATCATGATAAACAGAGAAAAGATTAAAGTTGTCAAAGACTTCATTTTACTTCACCTACAATCAACATTGATGGAAGCAGCAGCCAAGAAATCAAAAGATGTATTAGGCACATCTGCTATAAAAGACCTTTTTAAAGTGTTAAAGAGCAAAGATGTCTCTTTGAACACTAAAGATGTCCATAAAGTTCACCTGATCCAAGTCATGGTATTTTCAATAGTTTCATATGCATTTGGAGTCCTGGCATGATGCTATAGGATAATCACTTGACTGTTAACCACCCAGTGGTTAAAAGCCACCAGTGGCCCCTTGGAAATCCTATACAGGGTCGCTATGAGTCAGAATTTATTCAAGGGCACTTAACAAATACAATATATACATATGAAAGCTGGCCAATAAATAAGGAAGACCATAGGAGAATTGATGCATTTGAATTACATGTTGGTAAAGAATATTTAAAAGGAGCTCTGGTAGCATAGTGATTACGAACTGGGCTGCTAGCCTTAAGGTCAGCAGTTCGAAGCTACCAGCTGTTCTGTGGGAGGAAGATGAGATTTTCTGTTCCTGTAAAGGTTTTCAACCTTAGAAACCCTGTGCAGAGTCACTATGAGTTGGAACTGACTCCACAGTACACCACGACTACCACCATCAAAGAATATTTAAAGTACCATCATGGACTGTCAAAAGAACAAACAAACCTATGTTGGAAGAAGTATAACCAGAATGTTCTTTAGAAGTGACAATGGTGAGACTATTTTGGGTCTATTCTTAGGAGTGATCAGCCCTGGAGAAGGATCTCACACTTGGTAAAGTGGAGGGTCAATGAAAAAGAGGATGGATTGACACAGTTGCAGCAACAATGGGCTCAAACATAACCATTGTGAGATGGCACATGACCAGGCAGTGTTGTTGTTGTTGTTGTTCTTTTGTGCATGGGGTTACTGTGAGTCAGAACTAACTTAACAGGTTCTAACAACAACAACAATTCAAACTGAAGCTGAGAAAATGAAATCAAGTCCACGAGAGCCAAAATATGACCTTGAATTTATCCCACCTGAATTTAGAGACCATCTGAAGAACAGATTTG